CCTAGTGGCCAGCCCTTTAAAGATAACTGAGTCCTTCCCCATCCCCACCCCTGCCAAAAGCCTCAACTATGAGCAGCTACACTTCAGCATCCCTATCACCATTCTTAAGAGTTCTCTTCAGTGGCCTCCATTGCCAGCACAGACCATGCACCTCAGCATGATCTCCAGTGGCAATGCAGACCAAGGACGTCAACATCACTATCTACTGCAGCATGGACCACAGACACCATCATGATACATCATGTCTACAGCAGCATGGACCACGAATATCAACATAGCCTGATTCATAGAGGACATAAAACTAGAACCGACTATTTCTTTTGCCCCTGGTTTTAAGCACTTTTTTTTGTCTTTTTCTCTGAAAGAAAGAATGAGGACTTTTCTGTGGTAACAGTTCAGCACTCCACTGGCTCTAGGCCTTTTTGCTAGGCCACATTGTGAAGCATAAGCATAAGCTTCTCTGTAGTGACAGGGTTACCTTTTTACTGTATGTTAGGTTTTGTTCCTTATAATTCTATGAAGTAATTAAAAAATATAAATATATACATCCATATATTGTGGATTCTCATCTTATATACTGGGTAGGCTCTTGAAGCTATGGATAGAGAAAACAAAACCAGAAACAGACAGGGGTTGGGTGCTTGAGAAGCCTATGAGCATAGAAAGAGCCAAACTTTTGCAGAAAAGAGGTTTTTACTGATGGTAAGGATAGGGAATATTTTGAGCAGTGTTGAATCACAGGGAAAGGAGTATGTGATATGGACCAAGTGTAAGTGTGAGTGTGCCAGGGAAGGTTTGAGGTTAGGGTCTGGAAGGGCCAAGGAAGCTTGGGACTAGAATGGACCTTTAATTGTTAAACGCTTATCTCTTTTCCTCTTTTCTTTATTTTTAAAGAGAATATTGTGGTCTGCGTGCGTGCGTGCGTGCGTGCGTGCGTGCGTGCGTGTGTGTGTGTGTGTGTGTGTGTGTGTGTGTGTGTGTGTGTAGGGGGGTGACTGGGGAGGCCATAAGAGGCTGGTGCTGGAGCTGCAGGCTGTTGTAAGCTGCAGGACACAGGTACTAGGAGCCCACCTGTCCTCTGCAAAAGCTGATGCTCTTAGCACTGAGCTATCTTTCCAGGATTTTCTCCAAAGGCTTTGGAAATGCCTGTTATTTCAGCATAAACAACTCCACATATTTGTATTTATATTTTATAATTCATGTGATATCACCCATCTGACCGAGGGCTGTGGTCCTGCCCGGTGTGGAAGGCAGCAGGGATGGGGAGGAGGGAGGACCACAGATAAAGGAGTTGCAGAATGGTATTCAGCCCTTCCTTTCTTCCCACTCTGCTCAGCAAATTCCATGCCCTGTGTTGCTGACAGGTTGCTATGAAAGGAAAAGTAAGTGTATTTAATGAACTATGTTAGTATGGTTTGCTTATGAAAGAGAAGAATCTGTGCCCCAAATAATACCGGTTTTCAAAGAGAGCTGCAAAACCTGACGTGAATCTTCAGTGTATTCTACCCGTTTTCTGTGGGAAATCTCTTTTGAGGATATGCCACGGAGGGGTGCAAAGGTGTCTGATTTCTTTCAGGGAATTTACCTACAGTTTTCAAACTTGTAGCCTGGCAGCAGGCTATTGAAGGCCTGTGGGGCTCTACCTGCACACTCTCTGCCACCTGCCTATTCTCCTTGTAAGCACAATGGACTCGATTTAACCATTTCTCCTTAAATGTTTGCTGTTGTTCCGCTCTGAGGTTTTTAAGACAGTATACATGCATGTAATGGTCAATCTCCGTTCAGACTTTATGTCTTGTTTCCATAATGTGTACCCTTAGATCAGATTGTTTCTCAGGAAGGTCTTGGAAAATTTATCATTTTACATGTTCTGCATGCAGTTCATTGGTTTGGATGTTTTGTTTTTTTCTTTAGTAACCAAATTTCAATTACTATATGAAGGTGCCTGTGGAGGGGAACATATGCATGCATTTCTTCGATTTCATTGTGCACACCAGAAAAACATTATCTCATGAGCATTCATGATTTTCTCTCTATCCTCTGATTTCCACCATGAGACATATGCTCAGATCCTGGCTTTTCCCAGCTGAGTGACTACGAGAACTCTATTCTATGTTTTTAAACCTCATGGGCCTCATCTGCAAGTCTCAGAATAGCAGCACCTGCAGAAGAGTAGCAACTGCTGAGCCATCTCTCAAGCCCCACTTCCTTTCTTAAAAGTTGTCTTGGAACTTAGGTTAGCCCACAAATAAGCTGCAATATTGTACAGTAGGCATACTCCAAAGTGCCCTGGTTTCCATCGTAAAATAACGTCAATTTTTTTTCTTTACCAGAGAAGCACAAAAGAGGCTCTGAAATTGAGAAGTAATCACCGAGTCAGTCAGAGGACAGTATGACAATGTCAAGGAATGCTTTTCTAGTTCATATTGTTTACAGTTAGAGAGAGAGCACTCACCCATAAAAGGGTCCATTCCATTGTAAGAGTTAATTTCAAAAAAAGACATGAGATGTTGATTTTAATATACATGTGAAGACTTGAATATTCACTATTTGAAAGGGAATATCATACTGTGTTTATTTATCTGTTGTAAAATCTGTTTTTAAAAGCTTTCCTTAGTTCCTAAATATGCCTGGGTTCCTAAGGGGAAGTTATGTTCCGGTAACAAAGTCATTCTGTTTGGAATGAATAATGAAAATCTTGTGGTTTAGCTGTTTCAGGGGAACGGCTGTTTATACTGTGAATTTTAAATAAGGCCATGTTTTAGTTACTTTTTTATTGCTGGCAACTTACAGAAGAAAAAGCGGCTTGCAGTTTCAGAGGATTGCGGTCCACCATGGTGTGGAGTGGGGCAGTGGGTAGGCAGGCATGGCGCTGTAGCAGTAGCCGAGCACTTTACCCACATGCACAAAGCAGAGAGAATGACCTGGGAGTGGTGTGGGCTTTTGAAACTTCAAGTCCACCCCCCAGTGACACCCCTCCTCCACACCTGTTAATTCTTTCCAAGCAATTCCACCAACTGGGGAGCAAACATTCAAATATACGAGCCTGTGGGGACAATCATCATTCAAACTACCACAGACCACCTGCTTCACCCAGGATTTTATGTCTTCAGCAATTTTTTTAAAATTTTATAACTCATTTAATTTTATATATCTGCCATGGATTCCCCTCTTCCCACCTATCCCCCGCCCCCTCCCCAGATCCACGGCCAGGCCCCAGGTGGAGCTCCGGGAGGGAGTCCAATTGGCGAGAGAGAGGAGGGATTGTATGAGCGAGAGATGTTGAGACCATGGCTGGAAAAAGCACAGGGACAAATAGCCAAACTAGTGGAAACACATGAATTATGAACCAATAGCTGAGGAGCCCCCAGCTGGATCAGACCCTCTGGATAAGTGAGACAGTCGATTAGCTTGAACTGTTTGGAGGCCTTAAGCAAGTTTTGAGGCACAGCCCCAGGGTAATAGAGCTCTCTTCCACTGACTGAAGTTCCGGCCTCTGAGCTCAGTGTGTTGGCTGGCAGCTTCTCTGTTGGTCCTGTTCTCTTGTGCTAGGGAGACAGCTCTAAAACATTCATCATATAATAACTAGAATGTTCTCCCCATGCAGTGTGCTCATACCTTAGCTGTGGCTTTCTCCTTTTTCTCCAGAAAATATTGTTTCAAATTTTTGTTTTGAAATTGATTATTTTCTCCCAATTTTTTGATACTCTTACCACTATTAGTGACTGATAAAGAAAACCCACCTTGAAAAAAGAGGCTATGGAAAAATTAAATTCCCCGTCACTGTGTGCTGTCCCTTCTAGGGTTTTCCTGCCATTGCGATGTTCAGCTCACCCCTGGCGAGGCTTCAAATGTGAATTTTCCAGTAAGGGGTTTTATGTAGAGTCTCAGTGTTATTTCAAACTTGCTGTGGTGAGTTCTTGTATAACCCACGCTGTTTTCCCTATAACTGATATCTTAGTGAGTGTGGGATGGCGACTGCAGCAGTGAGCCAGGATGTGTGCATTGCTGATGCCCGGCATCCATGCTTCCCTCAGACCTCCTCTCTTCTTTTTGCTGTGTCTCGAGTTCTAGGGTCCCGTCCTAATGCCGCAGTCACATTTATTTGTCTGGGCTACCACAGTTTTCACTGATTTTGATAACATTGATAATTTTAAGGATTACTGGCTAAGAGTTTTGAGAATTCACATCTGTGTTTATTTCATTAATAAACTGCTTTGGGAAGTGCTGTGAGATGTTAATGTATGTCCTGTGGGAGCCTTTCTTGGGTTCCTTGTGGCGTTACCCAG